GGCAGCCGCCTCACCAGCCAAGACACAGTAGAAAGGGACTTCTCAAACACAGGGACTTCCCCTGAACACTGAGTATCTCACACAACCTTAAAAAAGCAACTGCCGGCCAGGTGCAGTGGCTCACGCCTGTAATCCCAACACTTTGGGAGGCCGAGGCAGGCGGATCACAAGGTCAGGAGATCAAGACCATCCTGGCTAACATGGTGAAACCCCATCTCTACTAAAAATACGAAAAAAAAAAAAAATTAGCCGGGCATGGTGGCAGGCGCCTGTAGTCCCACCTACTCGGGAGGCTGAGGGAGGAGAACGAACGGCAGGAACCCAGGCGGCAGAGCTTGCAATGAGCCGAGACTGTGCCACTGCACTCCAGCCTGGGCAACAGGGTGAGACTCTGTCTCAAAAAAAAAAAAAAAAAAAGCAACTGCCACCAAAAAAATTCAAAATGCTGTCAGAATCAATGGACACGAAACCCTTGGGTGAAAGCTGGAGATGTGACAGGCTGTTTGGAGCCACCAACGCCTCTCAGCAAGACACTTCTTAACTACAAAAGGAAAACTAGTAACTTGCAGTGCAGGAACTTGGCAGATAACGCCTGAGCCCAGTGATCAGAGTTAACATCACCAGTAAGGGAATACGTCCAAGTTGCTGGCCACCAGGTAGAAAGCAACGAGAAAAACATGTTTCTGGGATATCCTGCCAAAAATGCAGAACCTGAACCCATTATGAGGAAGCACCAGACAAACCTGAACCGAGAGGCATTCTTCAAAATAACGGGCCTGTACTCTTCAAAAATGTCAGCACCATAAAACACCAAGAAAGGCGGGGGAAGTGTTTCAGATGTAAGGGAAATAAAGGTATATTAAAATTAAGTCAACATACAAGCCAAGATTTTCCTTTGCTATCAGGGATACTGTTAGTCCATGGACAAAAATCTCAACAAAGGCTGGCCACAGTGGCTCACGCCTGTCATCCCAGCACTTTGGGAGACTGACGTGGGCGGATCACTTGAGGTCAGGAGTTTGAGATCAGCCTGGGCAACATGGTGAAACCCCATCTCTACTAAATATACCGAATTAGCCAGGCATGGTGGCGCATGCCTGTAGTCCCAGCTACCTGGAAGGCTGAGGCAGGAGAATCACTTGAACGTGGGAGGTGGAGGTTGCAGTGAGCCGAGAGATCGCGCCATTTACTCCAGCCTGGGCAACAAGAGTGAAACTCTGTCTCGAGTGGGAAAAAATATATATATACACATATATATACACATATATATATACACACACACACACACACACACATATATATCAATAAAGTCCACCAATCAGGTAACAGTATTGTTCAGTATTAATTTCCTGCTTGGGTAGATGCCTGCGGTTCAGTAAGAGATTGTGCTTGTCTTCTGGAAATAATACTGAAGTATTGAGTATGTCACTCTTATTCTATGTTTAAATTTTTTCTCTCTCTCCTTTTTTTTGTAGAGGCAGGGTCTCAGTATACTGGCCAGGCTGGTCTCCTGGCCTCAAGTGATCTTCCCACCTTGGGTTCCCAAAATGCTGGGATTAAACCACTGCACCCAGGCCCTGTCACTTACTCTTAAATGGTTTCAGAAAAAAGTAACTGGAGAGGATAAAGCTGATATGGTAAAATGTTAACATTTAGGAAATCTAGAAAACTAAAAATAATTTTTAAATTTTTTTGAGATAGGGTCTTGCTCTGTCACCAGGCTGGAGTACAGTGGCGCACTCTCAGCTCACTGTAACCTCTACCTCCTCGGCTCAAGCGATCCTCTCATCTCAGCCTCCTGAGGAGCTGGGACTACAGCCGCACACTACCACGCTCCGCTAATTTTTTAAATTTTTTGTAGAGACAGGATTTTGCCATGTTGCCCAGGCTGGTCTCAAATTCCTGGGCTCAAGTAATCCATCCACCTTGGCCTCCCACACTGCTGGGACTACTGGTGTGAGCCACCGCGCCCAGCCTAAAAATAAATTATTGTTGAAATGGTATTTCAGTTTTTAAAAACTGTTACAGCCAAAAGACAACACAGACTCCTAAAAGGAGTCTTGGGCTGGGTCAGAAGTAGATTCTAACCCTGAGCCTCTCCCTTACCAGCTATGTAGCTCTGGGCCATCACATCTGCTATGAGGGTAATCGCCCCACTCATCCATTCTGTTGGGTTACTTTTTTTTCTTTTTCTTTTTTTTTTTTTTTTGAGACAGGGTCTCACTCTGTCACTCCAACTGGAGTGCAGTGGTGGTCTCAGCTCACTGCAGCCTCAACCTTCTGGGCTCAAGTGATCCTCCTGCCTCAGCCTCCCAAAGTGCTGGGATTACAGGTGTGAGCTACCACCCCTGGCCCTGTTGGGTTATTGGTGATTAGTGGACTAATGAATGGAACAGCACTCTGCAAACATCAGGGGCCAGACACAGCTCATGCTGAAATATGGTTTCCTGAGGATGAGGTCTAAACTGCCTCCTCTCTCTGGAAAGGGGGCCACGGTAAGTATAATGATGGGGCCCCAGGTGGCCACGCAGGTGCTCTCCTAGGAACTTGTGCGTGTGCAGGATTTTCTCTAACCTCCTGCCTTTGTGTGACTGTAATCAGTTTTAGCAATGGTTTCTGTCACTTCGCATTGTATTGTATCATTAAAAAAAAAGACTTACAGAATTCAAAACCAGTATCTAAGAGCTGCACACCATTTCAGAAGGGGAGGGCAGACGCTTAACTTCCTGTTCCCCCACTGCTGGACATTGAAGTTACTTCCAAATTCTCACCATGATAAGTGCCTCACAAGCAGCTTTGTACATATTTTAGATTACCTCCTTAGACTAGGCTCTGGTAAATAGGATTACTGGATCAAGGGGTATGAACCAAATACTTTCTACAAAGACTATTTCAATTCACACCATCAATAATACTGTAGAAAAATGCCAGTGAAACTGGCATTTATCATGTTTGCATTCTGCCTTACTTTTTTTTGATATGGAGACTCGCTCTACCACCCAGGCTGGAGTGCAGTGGCACGACTGTGGCTCACTGCAACCTCCACTTCCCAGGTTCAAGCGACTCTCCTGCCTCAGCTTCCTGAGTAGTTGGGACTACAGGCATGCA